AATTAAATCTTATGAAAGTATGCATTCTTAAGAAGTTACAATATTACTAAAGCATTTGCATTTAGTCCTTAGACTGTTATTAGTCAGGTTACAGTGCCTAAGACCCAGTTTTTTACATCTGTTACGTGTCTGTTTCCTACAAAAAAGAAAAAAACTAGACATGGTGGTAGAATTCTAACCAATGAAAGATGACACTTCAGTAGCAGATTAAGAGTGTGGTACTTATCGTTAGGAAATGTAATGAGTTCAAGGACAATAAACAGGTAGAACCCTTCTCAGGGAGGCCAGGGAAGTTGCCCTGGAAAGCAGACAATGACAGTGTACCTGATGGGTGTTGCATGGCTGGTGTCACACACGCTGCCCGGAAACGATGCTGTCCCTGAGCTCGGCTTGGCAACTTCCATCCATTTGCCTGCCTTACATCCTTGATGTACAACTGCCTTACATCCAGCTGTACACCACACAGTGAGCACCCTGGGGTGGGAAAAAGCACTTTGAGACAATCAGGAGCTACCACTGCAGTCCTGCTGTTTGTGTGGTCTTGTGAGGATAGTTTCAACATGAGTCTCAGGACCCCTCTGGTGCTGTGACAGCTGATTTCAAGTTATCCTGACATGATATCTCTAAGTTATTCAGAATATCTGGATGTTTATTGGTGACTTAGTCCATGGTAAAGGAGTTGCAGTAGGAGGAATTTTTGAACCCTTCCAAGGGGAACTACTTCCATTGTCTTAACCTGGATGTATTTCAGGTGATACAGTAATGATTTAATAATAGCAAACCAAAGAAGAGAAGAACTCAACGAACCACAATGTTAAGCATGGAACTATGTATGCATAAGGATAACTCTTGTGCTGTGGGCTGTACAGAAATGTAGAGTTAAGCATTTTCAAGGTGTTTGACTGTTGACAGCTGTAGAGAATTAGTGATAAAGCAGTGAGACTTTGATGACACACTTTAAAAATAAAAATTTCCTTATATAACCTGGTACTGCATGACGTATGTATTCATCTTATCTGTCATATATTCTCTTTTTGCCTTTGCTTTAGGTTTTTCCTCCAATCATGCTGTCATGATGGACATGACTCAGAAATTCATTCCCCTAACTGCCTAAAAACAAGTGAGATTTTTTTCATTTAGAAACAAAAGACAAAATAATTGCAAATTAATAAACAAGGACAAGAGTCAAGGAACCTGTCTGTTTGCCCAAGGAAATAGATATCCATAGATTCTGAGCTCTTGCACTTAAATAGCAGGTAAATGGACTCTGCAGTTTTCAGTCTCTCTGTTGAGATATTGCAGTAATGAGTGCTATTATGAGAAATCTAGATGGAGAAAAGGAAAGACATAGAGTTTATGTTTTTTGTTTTCCAAACTGACTGTTTTTCTGTTTCCTGGATGTCTAAGAGATCAACAACAATTGGTCTCTCCTTTGATGTCATGGGGACAGGAAAACATCTCAGTCCTAACTGGCATTAATTTAACCTAGATTTCTCTTCCTGTCGTAGCAAAAGAGCTTGTCTTCACACAGACCATACATGGAATATAAACACATTGAAGAGGACCATTCCACTTGGTATCTAAAAGAATTGTTAGATATCCAAACCAGACTGACTCATTCCCACTTACAGTGAGTGCAGGGAAAAGAAATGCGACAAAAAAAATCTCATGCCCTTGAGCACTAAAGTGTTCAGACTTTGAGCTATCCTTTATTTTCTGATTTGGTTTTTTTTTTGTCTTTTTTTTTTTTTGTCTACTAATCACATAGACATTCATAACAAATATACGTAGTCACCAAACCTCTTAATCAGCTCTGTAAATAGTGTTCACAAAATGTAAGAAGGCAAAAATTATTTGACTTTGCCAAGTTTGAGCAGCCTCAAATTTAGCACAACAACTCCAAAATGTAAACATAGTTACACTACTGCTGAGACTTGGGAAGTCACAGTCAGTGACTGTAAGACCTAGTATCTTTCCATCCTTCAGGATTTAAGGAAGACTCGAATGTTTTCTGTGAGTGTTCTGTCAAGGCTTCCAAATGTGTGGCTAATATCAGTGTGTACTGGTTATTTGGTTTAGTTCTCTTTAAAGAGAATTATTTTTAGTAGTTTGAAAGTAAAATTCATTGTGAATCTGATAACTTAAGAGCAAATACTCTGGGTCAACTGTTAGATGTTGAAATTTTCTGAATTCCATGAGAGCGCTCAGTACTTCAAAGATAAGTACTTCATTTTGCTTCAGATGAGGGAATAGTTTGACCCTATTACTTCGATATTGTCATTTAAATTAGCATAAAATCTTAAAATAGGAGGTAAAGGATCAGGGGTTAAAGTAGTGATGTAATTAAAGTTGAAGTCTTAGGGTTTATCCTTTAAGCTGATTTTTTTTCTGTCAGTTAAGGCTAAAAAGATTTAATAAATACTTCTGTGTTTGGGTAAATTCTGATGCGATGAATTCCAGAATGTGTGCATTAGCCTTGAATCTGAGTTAGCTTAAGAGGAAAGGTTTTGATAAGCTATGAGAAAAAGCAAGCAGCTTGTAAGGAAATGGACCCCATGTACAAGTCAGTCGCTGTAATGCCATGTTGTTTGAAGCTGTGTCTTAATTTTTCAGAGCTTGCAGCTGATGATATGTTTAAGACAGCCCTCAGTTCTGGCAGGGCTTGAAGCAAGTGTTACTTCAGTACTGTCAGACAGTAAAAAACCAGCGACATGTGAAGTGACGGAGTTATACTCTGAGCAGTCAATGAGTTTGAAGTTACAGCTTTCTGACCTTGAGTTTTCTGCCCTTGCAGCTCTCTTCTTCACTCCCCGGTACCCTAAACCTGAGGCCAAGAGTGAATCTCACTGCTTGGAGCAGACACTGTCAGAACACAACACATGCCTCTCTGTAAACCTTTTTCAGCTCTATGATCACCAAAATCTCATTTCTACTAATGCAAGGTTTGAATCTCTACCACCATTTTCATGCTGTTCTAGTCTCAAAAGCGCTGGCCCAGTTGCAATTTAGAGAACATAACAAGTGTGTTTGTGTGCATGCAGTGCTCTCTTTTTTCCTGTATAATATGTAAGTAAAAGAGAAGTCAAATCTAAGACTGCAATAACCTGTGAGAACTGGGGTAGGAAACAGGTCTCACTTCCCCCACTGACACCAAAGACAGGAGAGAAAACATACATGGATTTCAAGCCCAGTTCACACTGGAATAATGGTGTGATCGGGGCACCTGGGCATCCCCAGCTGGGCTCTGTGCAGTGTCCAGCCAGGAGGTGACAGATGTCACAGAGGGTCCCTGGAAGAGACCTGTCAGAGCAGCATGGGCAGAGCCACAGAGTCCTCTGGGAAGTCATATGTCCACAGTTGTGGTTTTTCACCTGAGACCAGGCGCAGCACACAGAGCTTCTGTTTTTCCTTGCACCCAAGTGTTCCCTCCATCCATATGTACCTTCAGTATATTCTCAACTGGCTTCCTTACCTCATGAGTAATATTTAACCCATGTTTCTCTGCACATGCTACACTGTTTGTACCTCAGAATAAAGCAAGCAGAAGTGAAGTTTCACAGAAGCTGCTTGGCTCAGAACCACTGGTTGTGAGCACCCACTGGTGAGGATAGCTGCACCCTCTGCACGGGACCATGAGTGTGGGTGTGCCAGCTCAGTCAGCCCACAGTCCTGTGCTAAACAAACTCAGTGCCAGCCTGGCTCAGTGCCAAGCCAAGCGTGCATGTCTGAGTGCATGAGAGGGGAGAAAAGGGGTTTCTGCCCGTTGACTCCACATACCTTCTCAGAATCTGGCGCAGTGACTTAAGGTCAGTAATACACTGTGGCCAGGCAGGTTTTGCTTCCCTAGGGATGTGTGATTGCAGTCCTGAATGCCAGATCCCCAGTCTTGACTTTCCAGTCCTATTTTACCACTCCCACTCCACTTGTGTGAGAGTTGCATCAAGAATTTTTTCCTCCCTGCGATGGCCATCTGTTTCTCTAGACTTCAGATAACTTTGAGTCAAATGTTTTCCTTTTTTCTTCCTCCTGAAAGAGCATCCCTCAGAGTGCCTCTCTGTAATGCTCTGTGGATTGAGTTTGTACTTGTTTATTGAGCTGTGGACAAAAGTCAGTCTGTAAGTGATGATGCAAATATGATTTTTCTGGTTGACATTGGCTAATTGAACTCACATTCTTAGTCATACAAATCAAATTAATTGTCTTGACCTCTGAAAGGCTTTAGAGTCTGGTAGTGTAAAATAAAGAAACAAGCTTAAAATGAAAAACCTTACAGTCTGTTGATAAAGCAGACTGACAAAACAGAAATGCATCTCAGAAAAGGCTTTAAAAATGGTCTCTGGGAACATTTTTTCTACTAACTCCCCTGTTTTCCTATAAACAAAATGTGTTTCTTTGTGCAGGTGAATGTAGAACTGAGCCTTATGACATTAAGCTCTTTGTGGCAAGTATTTTTGTTTCTCCACACAGCCTTACTTTCAACATTCTCTTTAAGAAAACACATATTTTCTTCTCATTTACTCTTCTCATTTACTTGACCATTTTATTTTCTAAATCTAACTTGCTTATGTGCTGGTCATTGCTTTCTTCAGAGATTCACAGTTATGTCCCCCATGCATTTTCTTCCCTGAGAAGAAACTGAGATAAACCAGTGAGAGACAATAAACAATTTCAATCCTGCTCACTTCAAGGGGTTGGGGAGGAGCATTTGTGTCTAACTCATCCTTGTTTATCTAATAATTTGTTCTAATAAATCACTGTCCTTGGGTTGTTTATATATAAACAGGTTCTATGAAAGATCACACCCTGTTTATTGCAATTAATTAACTGGAAAAACACGATCTTAGCTAATTGAATTGTTATATTTAAAGAGTTTCCTCCAACTCTGGACAGAAATAAAGACCTATCAGTAAGTGTATTACCTGGTAAACCATTTCTAGCTTAATTTTCTGTAACTCTTGTTCAATGAGGAGGCCTGTAAAGGTTTTTGCCTTCTTTCACAGGTACCACCAGTGCTTCTGGACAAGCAGTTTTCAGAATTTACGCCGGATATCACCCCTATTATTCTGGCTGCCCACACCAACAATTATGAAATCATAAAGCTCCTTGTGCAGAAAGGGGTGTCTGTGCCCAGGCCACACGAGGTGCGCTGTAACTGTGTCGAATGTGTCTCAAGCTCAGATGTGGACAGCCTCCGCCACTCTCGGTCCAGACTCAATATCTACAAGGCTCTGGCGAGCCCATCCTTGATTGCTTTGTCCAGTGAGGATCCTTTCCTTACTGCTTTTCAACTGAGCTGGGAGCTGCAGGAACTGAGTAAAGTCGAAAATGAGTTTAAGTCAGAGTATGAGGAACTGTCACGGCAATGCAAGCAATTTGCAAAAGATCTCCTGGATCAGACACGGAGTTCCAGGGAATTGGAAATTATTCTTAATTACAGAGATGATAATAGCTTGATAGAAGAACAAAGTGGTAATGATCTTGCAAGATTGAAACTGGCAATTAAGTACCGTCAAAAAGAGGTGAGTGTGCTGGAGAATATTTGAGCATATTCAGTAGTAATAATGTGATAGATAAGAGCCTGAAATACATCCTTTTGAACTGAGACAAGTTTCTGCTTATCTTTTCTTTTTTTTTTTTTTTTTTTTTTTTTTTTTTTTTTTTTTTTTTTTTTGTCCTACTAGGTTTCTGCTCTTTTTATAGTTTTAATTAGATGAATTTGAATAGTTGTTATAGTTTGGTAGTATCAGAATTCAAAATGTTCTCTCCTAGCACAGATTCTATGAAACTTTTTTCTTTTACACCTGAATAGATGTAGTCTTCAGTAGTTGTGCTCTGAAGTGCTCTTCAGTAATAGGGTGAGAAATGTATAAAGCATACTTTAAATTAACTTGGACTGTGTCTGACAGAAAGAGGCAGCTGTGTTTAAACACACACTAGAGGTACCTCTGTAGAGACCTTTCTTCAAAAAGTAGCTATTACAGATACTGAAACAGAAGTTTCATAACCATGCATGACTCCCAAAAATGTTGACATTCAGATTCTCTTTCATATAGAATTCAAAATGGAAATACCTGGGTACTGGTGTCCATGGCAGTTAAAAATTCATACATTTGCTTCACCAATGTGTACATTCAGTTGGAATCAGAGGATGTCTGCATACATTTTTTAAAGTACTCAGGTTCTTTTGTGCATGCAAAAGCAAAAGAAGCGAGACACAAAAATGAGTTGGAAGACAGTTCCCATGATATTTCCAAACCTTCACCTAATCCCTGCACATCATCATGTCAGAATATGTTGTATTATCTTATTAGGAAACAGTACATACCAAGTCAGCTGAAGTATGGAAGTTTATAGGCAAGACAAATGTAAGTATTTAGTATTTGTTCATATTCATTACAGCAAATGCTTAAAAAATTTCCGTGTTAAATTGTATCACTGCTAAATCTTTGTAAAGCAAAACATAATAGTAAATGTGTTAAGTTATTAAGTATGTTAGAAAGGTTTGAAGAAATAATAACCAAACATTTAATGATTCTTTTGTTCATTTGAAATATAATTTAGTAATTAGAAGCTACTGTGGAGGGAAGGAACTACTGAAGTACTGATGGAAAAAAACCTCAATTGGTCTCTGACTTCAGAAGTCTTCTAATAAGCATTTTTTCCTTCAGAAAAATGTATTGCATGATTTTATGTTTTATAGTATAATGTTTCAGGCAACATATTCACTGCCTTCATCAATTGTTTTCTGATTGTACTTTGCCAGATTTAACAGCCACTTTTTCTATTTCTTTAAATGCCAGTCCTATCTTACAGTCATATAAGAAGCTGAAGCTTGGACTTCTGTTTTCTCAAGGATTCATGTACTGAAATAAAATTCTGACCTCTCATTGTTTGTTTAGTTTTTTTTTAAACCGTAACACAAAGCTTGATTTTTTTTTTTTAATTTGAGATAGAGACAGTGATTGGCATATGTAGGGTGAAATGTTTTTTTATAGTTGCATTCCAAAATGTTTTCCATATTGGTTGCTGAAGCAAACAATAGCCTCTGTAGCTGTTCAGTTATTTTATTTCTGATTATTACTGCAGTATTCTGGTAGGTGCAGCGCTAAGAGCAAGAAACTTACCTCAGGCATAACAATTGCTTGGATTCTAGCTGTCCTGGTCCATATAGATCATGATAAAAATACACCATCAGGGTCTTTCTATTTCTTGTGTTAAGGATGTTACTGGAGACACAGCCTCTGTCTGAATCCAGCAGCCTCCAGGGTCAGGGGATTCATTCAGCTTGGGCACTGGAGCCCAGCCAGGAGCTCTTGACAGTACAGTATTTTAGGCACTATATTCACTGTTTTTATAAATTATTTTCAGATGGTACTGCACCAAACTTAACGACTATTTCTGTTTCTTTAAATGCCTCTCCTGCAACAAAACAGCAAAACAGATAAGAATGCATTGTCTTCCCCTCTTATCTTACAATCCATCCCTAAAAACTCAACCTTTATTCATGCTATTACCAAAGAACATTCTAATGTCATACTGGGGCTGAGGTCAGAGCTCCACAAGTGAGCAATCAGGTCTGGTTGCCCAGAATGGCCAGTCTCAGTCCAAAAATTGCAGCTAAAAGTGACAAAATAATTAGGCATGTGTCCTTTTACATTGTTATTATGATTAAGTGCTCAGGAGTTAAGTATTACTTTTTTCCTTTCAAATTGAAAATAATACCAAAACTTATTCACAGTAATTCATTTTGGCATTTTAAGCAAGCAAACATAATAGAACTAAGTCTTGTGAAGGGGTGCAGTAGTCTTTGGGTAATATAACTTGGTTTAATTTCAAAACAGAGGATGGTGTAAAACAGCAGATTTAGGGTACTTGTAAAAGCAAACAAGTGGATGGTGATGGATTTTCACTGTGTAAAGAAATGAAAATTGACAAACATGAGTAAAGAAAATTACCAAGCTCAGAGTTTTTGAGGACTTTCCAAAATTACATGATGCTTGAAATGTAGATCTAGAAATGCCTTGTAATGAACAGAGAAAGTCCCTTGAAATTCAGATGATTAAGCTGTGCTTTGTGTAGTGGTCTGCAAGCCCCTGGTATCACCCTGTGTTTGTGGAAATTGAGAAAGTACATTCATTTTTGGAGCTCTCTATATTCTCCATTTTGCTGTTGAAGAGGGCCTTCCACAAACCAGGAACGTTATGCCCATTGGATTTGAGGTTCTCCACAGTGAAAGTTGCTCATCTCTGCATTTCCATTCCTTTCACACTTGCCATAATATTGTGATTCACACTCATGTGCTATCCAAAGCATCTCAGTGATATCAATTCTCAGTCCATGGAGTCAGGTCAGAGGTAACCTACAGTGTATTATCAACAAAGAAACTTCCCTGATAAAATCATCCATCTTCTTTATTAATAACTAATGAGGTTGAAAGATTTATAATCTCAAGTTTATCTTGCAGGATAATGTCTGGCAAGACTGTGGATAATATCTGTTCAGAGTTATGAGGCTGAACCAGGAGAGTATCTGCCAGAATATGTGGTGGTTTGTAGCATAGCCCATGGGACAGAACATCCAAGGTGCTATTTTTTTTTTTTCCTGTTCATTTTGCACCACTGGTGCCGTTTGACTGCAAACAAAGAAGCTTGTGGTGCCCGTTTCTGACACGTACTGTTGCCTGGGCTACAAACAACAGCAAACAAGACAGGTTCCCTGAAGTCACACTGCCACCCTGCACTGGGCACATTTTGTTGTCCAGTTACCTGCTGTTTAATATTGTCTCAAGTAAGGGAGAGTTTGGTTTTATGAAGGCCACCATAAGTTCATTGTGGTAGATTCTAAGCACACAATGAGTAGTGAGAAATAAGTTTCCCTGGTTTCTGAACCAAATGAAAATATTATCTGAATCAACTGCAGCTCCACGTAAGGATGTAGAAGGCAAATCCCAAACCCTGCATGTGTTTCACAAGCAAATCTGAGTTCAAATTAATTTGCGATTAATTTGAACTGCAGCAATGCAGTTAAGTAGAAGAGAATAGTAGCTCTCTTTATTGATTAGTAAATAGTCATCTTTTTCACTCATTGCAAAATGTGTATTTTCTTGTCATATATATTCTGAGTTTTCAACAGAGATGTCACAGCAAAAACCCAGTTTTTCTTACTGTTCAGTTAACTTTGTTTTAGCTTTGGTTCTGTTTAAGTATTAAGCATATAGCTACAAAAATTTGAAAAAGTGCGTACTACAATGCTTACTAATTTTCCCTTACATGTGAAATAAAGAAAGGGAGATTAATAGGCTGAATCAATATAATCTGGTTCCACTGTAAGTTTAACCAGTGTGATTTAAATACTTATACTAGTCTTTTATTTCTCTGTTTCATTTTTGCCTCATGCTAAATGTCCCATTTCATTTAAGCTATGGCTGTATAAGCTCAAATACAGTAACAGGATGAGGTTATAGTTATTGGTAGTACTGCCTCATTTTGCTTTGTTATTAGACATTCTCATATCAAAACAGAAGAAATAGGAATTTTTAAGTATGTAACTGTTGAGCTTTTCTCTCTCACTTCTTGAATGAGCACTGGCTGGTTTGGTTTAGGTTCACTTTTTTCTTTTTTTTTTTTATCTTTTCCATTCTTAGGTTATGTTGATCATCTTTCTCTTCCTCGACAAACACAGAATCTCTAGTAAATTTGGAATACCTTATATTGTAAATAGGATGTAGAGAGGTTAAATTCTGCCTATTTCAAATTAGCAGTCTGGAGAGATTTTAATGAGCTTTTTTCTGCTTTTATCTTAAAAAACCTGAAGTAAATGCGTAGTTTATTTAGCTTCCATCCAGTGTTATGTATCATGTTGAGACCTATCCAAAGAAGCCAAAACTAAGTTTTAAAGTTTTTCTGATACTGAATTAACTTTTTTAAAGGTTTGATTAAAAAATTACTAAATTTTACTTTCTCTCCCTGTTTATTAGACATGCAACTGCTTAACTACTAGAACTCTCCCAAATACCTCTAGCTGGACCTCTAGATGCTCTCTCTTCCCAGCAGCAGGACATGTTTTTCTGAGTTGTGAGCAGCTGCAGAACATGTACTAGCAAAAGGCTGAGTGAAAAAGAGAGTGGTTTAACAATTTGATGTATTTAAAGAATTAACAAGAGTTCAGTCCTTATTATAATGAATTTCAGGGAAAATGTTTCAGGGAAATCAGCTTCAAACTAAATTAAATACTAAATACAATAATATGATATTCAGATTTCCTGGATCAGTTCAATGTTCCTAGGAAAATTATACTGAAAGATAAAAAAAAAAAAAGTTGTTTGGTTTTGATAATAAAAACCATCTGTTTGCTTCTGCTCAAAAGACAACTTTTTAAAAGGGGATCATTAGTTCTTCCTAGTTTTCTATGCAAAATACAGCCTCAGTGAAATGAAAATGTTTCACAATAATGTCAAAAATTCAGTGAAATTTTCAATGAAAACATGCCTAATCATTTCAAATCTGTTATTTCATGTCAG